TCACTTACGTGAATTTCTATCCGCTTGTTATCTATATCTTTTCGTAGTAAATAAACTTAAGATACCACCAGTCAATGCTTAATATTATATCATTAACACTTTATAATTCCACTACATCGAATCAAGTAATGAATAATAATTACCTCTCAGCTGCAAAACGTTGAGAAATTTATTGCAAACCAAGTATAAGTCTGACGAAATCAACGAATGACATTTTTATTTTCGCTACTATTTCCAATTGGCAATTTCCCGGTGTTAAAGTTCGGTGGAAGACGCAACGAGGCGGAGGGAAGAATGTCGATGCGTCAACGAGTGCACAGGCCCATGCTTCAGACACCGAGCCAGTCGATAACAGGCCTCTGCCTTCGTTCCGGAGCCGATACACCCGTCTCTCTGCCTACTTCACTCGATCTCCGTGTAATTAATGTCCTCGCTTGTCGGGGCTAATGACGTTTAACACGTGTCTGACGATAGTGAATGTCGATCGATCCGTTACGCGACTCCGGTAATAAGCGCGCCGGGCGAGGATCGCTGTGCGCCGCGTTCGTTTGGATTTAAATTATACGCCCGTGAACGTGCCCGGTTAATTTTAATCTCATTACCCGGCCGGCTCGATCGCGCATTCAGTTATTGAAACGTTTTCAAACTCTGCCGGGTAATGACGCTTTATTCGATCATTCGTCACGGAAAAGGGGATGATCGATCTTACCACGAGCAGCTTAATAGTATTATTATAACATAATACGTTCGGATGTGTTTAAGAGTTTAGTGTGTTTCATGAAGCAGTGAAACAATAGTGTTGTATTTAACTTTAGATTTACGGGACCCCTTAATTTCACGGATATTGAATTTTTTAAATATTATTCAGTAAGAGTTTGAGTCGATTTTGATTCGTGCAATTATGCGATTGCGCATTGCGATACTGTGTGTTGGAAGCTACAATTTTGGCGATTTATATAGACGAACACGTAGTTAAATTCAGTACAAGTGACTGATTTGCAGTAATTTGTAATTAAATTTTTAGAATTTCTTCGCAACTGATATTGAATGTATTTATGTTATTTCTGTTTTTAACACTAGAACTGCCACAGCGGTCAAGATGACCCACTCCTGATTCCTTCTTTTTACAATTATTACAAAGATAACAGATAATTCTCGGAGAAATAGAAATTGATTTAGCGACAAGAAAATTGATTTGTAAATTAATAGGAATTTCAATAGTACCACTGACGTAGTTTCTATAGAAAAATTTCGAAAATTTCGTTCTAGTGTTAAGACACGTTTGCTTAGACAACTCTGTATAGATCTTACTTTCATAATTGATGTAGTTCTTTAATCAGAGAAGAGAAAAAAGTTCTATATAATCGATGTAGATTAGAAACATAGTATTTCTACGGGATGTTGTAGAAAGTAAATCGTCGTAGTTCTAAATGTCCACTTAGAAATCATCATTCCCAATTCATTAATTCGTTTTTATCCAAAATCACTGAGTTATGTAACTTTGCTAATTACCACAGCATTTAATAAAAACATTAAATTTGATTAGAACGGATTATCTATTCAAACTACATTACTTTCTATATAAAGACACTTAGCTATGGATCTTTGATAATTACCACAGCATTGAAATAATATTAAACTTGATTCGAAACAGAGTTTTTCGATATATAGTGATACAAGTTGATCTCACTGAAAGTCACCATCCGCGCAATTCGGTTTCCCAAAAATTAGCCGGCGCGTAATGTGTTAACATATTCGCTATCAGCGTCACATATTTGTGACGGCTGTAATCCTATATTTTACATAATGAAAATGAAATTAATCTTATAGACATTCTTATTAGAAATTATAAGCTACATTTTTATATTTAGGAACTCAATGACTCGTTTCAGTTTCATTTTTCTAATATTGTAGGAAATCAGGCTGTTAAAAATTAAATTACCGAAAAACCGTAAATACACCACGGGTAAACGACCGGATTCGGAAACATTACTCGACGCGAGCGAAGACGGTTGTCACCCAAAAACTATAAGCAGGGGACAGGTGAACACCCTAGGGAAAGAGCGATAATTGTATGTGAGTGAGAAAGAATGCTAGGTTCAATAAGCACGGAATATCGGTGTGAGTGAGAGTGCGGATGAATGACAGTTTATATACGAGGTAAGTCGCGGAGGAAAGGGCTTTTTATTATCTAGAGGAGGAGAGAAGCGTCTAAAAGTGTAAGAGTTAAAAGAGAAGAATAACTCGTTATAAATTAAATTCAAATAATCGCTTATACCGATCATTTCGATCCACATCGTCTTACAATATTTTCTTTAGAAGATTTATTGAATTGAATAAAGTATTACAATTCAGGAGACCGTCACCGAAATAAGCGCTGGTAGCAAACGTGTTAAGCGTTTCAGCGAATGAATGACTTACACAGCGAGAACAGCGAGAATTATTCTACTAGCACTGTCCTTCGGAACCACGAGAAAATCGCCGCGAGTATTAGCCAGTGGCCTCAGTCCATCCTATTCACGCGTGTACCTACAGGAAGATCAGCGCATCACGTTCTAGGCTAATGCCCTTTGGCGTCGCATGCAGCTACGTACATCGTGGCTAATGAAGGCACGTTCGGTCATTTGTGCATCGGCGACCTTACACGCGGCGGGGCTCGTCGTGGCCACGTTTAATTCGTCCAATCACGTTAGTCACGCGATAAGCGGCTCTATTGTCGTGTGGGTTGAATCATCGTTCGACTGGGAGTTGCGCACCGACGTTGACCGCATCATTGTCCAGCCACGTCAGACATCCATCGTGATTAATCTCGTTAATTTCTTCTCGAGCCGAGTCTTCTTTAATTCCCCGACCATCGACTACGGATCTAACGACGATGAGACCGTTCACTGGGTCTTTATGGACTTAGAATCTTATATTTACATCTCTCCTGTCGTTACCTCGTTTTTAATATTACAACAATAGACATGTGAGGTGAAGGCAGCAGTAATTGACCTGGTAGTTGCCAGTTGTTAGTTGTCATCGGTAGTTGACCATTTGTTAGGAGAAATGTTATAATCTTTCGATAGGCGCGACAGATATGCTGCACGTCGAAACATTTTCAGTTGAGTGAAATTGTTTATTATAGGTTTATTTCATTGACGTTGGTTGTACGTCTCCGTATTGCAATTTCTTTAATGTCGTCGTTAAGAAACGGTGTGTAATTCGCGGTGAGACATTAATATTTATAAGTTTCGCTTGTTACGACTGAAACTTTCATTACTTGAGTTGTAGTTTTATATTTAACAAATATTACGTTTCTGTTATCTGAACTTTGACGAGCATTATTGACAGTAGGCTCGACTTCTGATGCAATTATTGCATTTTCAAGAATGTTTATAAAATTTGGATAATATAACTATCTCAGAAAAGTTCGCTTTGTTATATAATGTAAGAAGTTATTATATAGAACAGAATTTTCACGCACAGAGTTTCTATTTAATAAAAGAGCAAGCGTTTACTATTATTCACGCAGATAATTTGTCTTAACTGGTCAACCACTGCAGCCTTTACCTCAACCTAACAGTAATGGGAATTTTATGGAATAACAGAAGAACTTTATATCCAATAAATTTAATCTGAGGAAATGACTGCAACGTAAACGTTAATCGAAATTAGTCGAAATTGTTCGAAACTAAACATTGCTAACTGCAGCACAATATTAAACGAGACAAATTCAACTTTCCCACGAAAATTTCGCGCCGGTTGATTCATTGCCAAAATCATTAAACGAAGCATTATAATTGCGTTATCGCAATTTCGACAAGTGCACGGCCTCGCGATATTAATCATTTTATATGCGCATAACAAATCCTATCAAAAATAATAACATCGAATCTAATAAATAAATTCATCGCTGAATTCGACCACTGAGCTCGTTATGCGGCGATACATTATCCGACACGTTACACCGCGATCGTTGCTCTCCGAAATCAACTCCCATTTATTTGTCCAATTAATTCCCGACGAAGGTCTTAAGACTGGAGGAATTACTTGAAACGATGTCCAGCAACCGCGTCTTTCGGATCTGCATCCCTGCGGCCGGTCGATGCTGCTGTAATGAATTCCGGTTTAGGCTGTATGCACACGAGCGTAGCGATCGTTATAGCGATGCGATTTCGATGCGTGAACCATTTGGTCGCATTGGAAACATTTGGTGATTTTTGTGGCGAAATCGACGAATTTTTGACAAAATTAAGATGGGAAGAGGAATTCTGTTTTAAGTTAAAATTGAAATGCTGTAGACCACAGGGAGATACGTAAAGAACATGATAAATGAGTTTTAACTCTGAGAAAATTGTGCCAACGAGCACAATGAATAGTCTGACCTCGAAGAAAAATGAATTAAAACTGAAACACGTAGAACAACAACAAAAATACGTAGAAATCATAATAAATGGACTTGGAAGAAAAATTAATCAAAACTGACGTTCTCAAAAAAGATCAGAATTCAAATAGAACGATGAATTTTTCTGCAATTAAAACAGAAATACATAGAACAACAAAAAAGATAGGGAGAAATCAGAATAAATAATGTCTGACCTTAAAGAAAGATGAATCAAAACTGATCTTTCCAGAAAAGATCAAAATTTAGATAAAACGATGAATTTTTCTGCAATTAAAACTGTAATACGCAGGACAACAACAAAGATACGCAGAAATCATAATAAATAAAGTCTGACCTTAAAGAAAGATGAATCAAAACTGACCTTTCCAAAGAAAGTAAAACGCGACTGATTCGCGTACCGTCAGGAGATCGCAAGGCGATCGGTGACGCCGTTGTGCGCGTAGCCTTAAGCGTGCACGCGAAGCAGGCATGCGGGCAGCCTGTAATGTAATTGGAAGTTCGTGGGTCCCGGCGACACGCGCTGGCCTCCTTCGCCGCGTGTAGCAATCTCGCATAATGCGGCCTTTCCGCGAGGAGAGCCGCTATCGCGCGACGCCCGCGAAAGAATCGCGAAATTTATGGGCGCGCTTACACGCGGCTGCATACAGATCGCCACTTACGCGTGTATCGGGCCGGATGAGGGAGACGAGCGTAAACCGGCCTCCCCTGACTTCGATAAAACGCCAGGACCCTCGACTCGTGTGCGTATGTAACTACGTTTACGATTGAGCCGACAGTTTCCGTGATGAAATATTAGATCGTCGCATGTAAAATTTCGGTTTCATAAATGAAACATTGTCCGCGCGTGGGCCGTTCGCGATACCGTATTTTTTATCAGGGGAATCTGTATATTGTTCTGTATACCTCTTTGTAAAGGTTCTCTTCTATTAATTAAATTTATGATGTTTCGGAGGACTGTTGACAATAAAATCCAGCAGTTAAATTAACCATCTGTAGGTTCATGTAACTTTGAAGTCACGTATCAATTTGTTGGCATCCTGTTGATTTATTTCATTGTGTACTCCAAGCGGTGAATAAAATGAAGTGATCAACTGACTTCAATTTTTGTACGTTCATATGTGAAACTTTAACATCATTGTTGCTTGGAAGTTACAAAATATATTTTGTTGTAATCATGAAAAAAAATTCGGCTCATAGAGAGTTAACTCTTTGAAATTTCTCTATGGGAACTCTAAGACTGCATGTACTGAGACTTTAACTGATATAAAATTGAGTTTGCGTATTGCTAACTCAATTTCTTGAATGATTTCTTAAAGAAATATGATCTTTTTAATATATAAAAGAAGACATCGAGTATGGTTCATTTTGACCTATCCAGTAATTTTAGTGTTAATGGAATAGTGTAACGTATTCTAATAAATTTCTGATTTTAGATTAGACTTCCAAAATTGTAACCACGTACTAATAACAAGAACACCGATGGAAATAAGGATCCACTCTCCGATTTTAAACTAAAATCACACAGTCATAACGAAAGTTAAGGGTCGAGATCTTGAAGTCAGGCGACAGTTGAAATGAGACGAAATTTGGGAAGTAAACTTCGAATTTTAACGAAGTATAAAATAACGCGTACACATCCAACGAATTAATTGGAATTCTTCACCAGTATGCAACAGATCAGCCTCGCGCATGCCTCAAATAAAATTGTAACGTGTAATAACAGCGCGGCTAGTCGACAAGACGTTCTTAATTACAGGGATGTAAACCCGTATTAACCGGCGCCATGAAAGACCCATAAGGTACATCGCGTTTTATTAATTTTGCTAATCACGATCGCGGGGTACACGTAACCGAGGCGTGTACCGTTGTACCAGAGAGATTTACGTCCTCGTTCAGTTACGTCATCGTCGTAACGAGCCGCGGAGTTCAACGAATAGCTTTATCACCGCGGCGCCAAGTTATAAGATGTTTATACACACTCGCGCGACGCAAAGCGCAACATTATTAAGTCGGCTGTCTCAGTTTCCGCGCGCCCCCGCGCCAGGGCAACACCTTCCGCGTTGTTTCTTCGAGTTTACAGCCGTTTATGCAGCTCGGCTCGCGGGGATTAACGAGCCGGTTGTCGTTTCGCGAACTGCGCCGGTTGCAAGCCAGTTTTCCGCCTTACCGATTAACCCGGGAATTTTCATTGGCCGACAAATTATCCCGAAGGAAATGTGGATCCTATATATCGCGACCAACGTTCCCGAGAGATGTTAATAAGTTTTTATATGAAGACACTCAGCTGTGTAACTTTGCTAATTACCACGGCATTTGAGAAGAAACATTGAATTCGATTAGAACTGATTATATATTTAAAATACATTACTTTCTATATAAAGATACTTAGCTGTGCGACTTTGTTAGTTAACACAGCATTGAAAGAAATGTTAAATTTAATTCCAATTGATTATCTATTTAAAATATATTATATGCCAGTATAATATCTGAGTTTCTGTATGTATAGTATAAGCTGATATCACTGACAATTGCCATCTGGAGAATTCAGGTTTCTGAAGATCAGCCGGTGCGCAATGTGTTAAGCTTCAACTTTCAAGCCGGAAACGCGGAGATCCCGAGGATCTCCTTCGTTAAGAGATAAGATTATATATTCCCAAAGAACAATTGATCACTGAATGGTAGCTTGCTTTAATATTTAAACTAGCAGACGGGGCAAATGACCCACTCCTGATTCTTTCGGTTTGCAATGATTAAAAAGGTAACAAATGTTTCTCTGACGGATTATTAGAGGAAGAAGGAATTCTAGAAAATAAATCGGAAATTTGCTGCTATTTTCAACTACGCGTCGTTAAAATACGTTACACTATTCCATTAACAATCTTCCAAAACACGAGATCATTGATTTAATTAACCCCTTACCATACAATGACTAGGGACTAGTTTAAACATCAATGTTGCTCAAAGCGCATGGATCAAAGCAAACCACTATTTTGCTATTACCAATATTTCATCGTCAAATTAAATGTCAACTTAAACTGCAGTGGACAATTTTATAGCGTTTCCTCGAAACTGTCGATAGAAACTGAATTATTACTAAAGCTAAGCTAGCAAAAGCAAAAATGCCAACGTTGTTCATAAATCTTTAGTCTAAACAGAGGCGATAGGAAGGTAACGAAATGTGTCTGAATTTTCTCACGCGAAGTTAAGAGACTTTTCTCCAGGCAACGCCATAAACGGTCTTATAAAGGAAAGCGGACCCCAACTGACTTTTGGGTGTTCCGAGTCATTCGCATTCGAGAACTTGAAAGAGCCAAATGTGTTTTTCAAAACCGTTATAATAAAGTCACACTGTAAAGTAGATACTATATAATATAATAAGTAGATACTTATTTAATCATCCATTTCCAATAGAAACATTTTGCACAAGCTTAGTAGCAAAAGTAAATACTACAGCAATGGATTAATAACTCACACTGAAACGATTACTCCGTCATTCTCAAGCAGACTCCTTTCGTCGCAAGGAACCTTCGATGTCACCTAATTCGACGGCAATCTCGTCTCGGCCGATAAAAACGGAAGGATCATTTTGCATTAGCGCTCAACTATGGAAATGTAAATTTGCTCGAGAACCTGCCAGTCTACCAGTTACGATTGTCGTAGTGCGCGCGCGCGGAGTCGTGACTCGTAAGGCGGGCCGAGATGAAATCGTGAATCCCGCGGAAGTAATGGGCTTATTTCAATCTCGTCCGCGGGCTTGATACGCCCGGGCGCTATTTAACCAAGATTATCAGCGGCCGCGGACACACCGGAGCGTTGCTCGGCATTCACGTTAACTAGGGACGGAAACGCTTGGCTGTAAGGTCGATTACATTCGACCCCGCGCTTCCAGAGTGGAAGACAATGTTGATGCGGCCACGATAGCAACGTGGAAACCTAATTGAAGTGGGCGTAGACGATAATAGTCCGGCTATACGGGGAACAGCCACGCGAGATCCCCGTTCGAGACGCGTCGCTAGGGCCCGCTGATATTCCTAAGAAGATTCGAACCCCGGTCCAATCTCGCGACAATGCTCCCTCCATTCAGCCGACGCGTTTTCCCATTTTTCCTGGCGGCCAGACTCGCTCGGCGTCCTTTCATCGTTTCAGATTTCTTCAGTGACGTTTGATTGAATCGTATCGGCCAGCTATTACCGGACTCGCGACCTTTTTACGGGTTCCCCGAGTACAGCGATATTGACGGGATTTTATTCCTACCAAGAGAAAGAGAATAAGGATCCTGTGGGATTCTTTGCGAGGTTTAAGGATTCGGTTGGGGGAACGGTTGGAGTTGGCAATATTGTTCAGGACTGAATATTTGGATATCCTGGAGCGTGTGAATATAGTTTTACGGAATCGTTTAACGTGATCGTTATCAGCGGTACATATTTGTGACGGTTGTAATCCTGTATTTTGCATAATGAAAGTGAAATTAATCCTATGGATATTATTATTAGAAATTGTAAACTACCACATTATATTTGGGAACTCAATGACTCGTTTCAGTTTCATTTTTCTAATAGTTTGTTTAGAAGATTTATTGGATTGAAGAAAATATTATAATTGAGACCATCGACGAAATAAGCGCTGGTAGCGAACGTGTTAATCGGTTTGATACGCTGGAAACAAGTCGAGTTGAGAAGTATAGGGAAATATTATGGTTGTTAGGTTAACCCTTTGCCATACTGTTTAATCGGGAAAAATTCGGAAAATAATTATGGTGGCTAAAATATGGTTTCCTTAGTAGTATTCATCCATGTTTATAAATATGTCCTTATTCATTATATTAACGAGAATTCCTTTAAACTCATCCTACCAAAGAAACACTCAAACGATCTAGCCGCAAACTTTTCAACCCCACTGTATCCCTGAATATAAATGAATTAAATCAATAATCCTCCAAAAACGTGTAAAATTGCATCTCAGTATTAACCCTCTAAAAACAAACAATAACGATCGCCGCATCAAACCACCAAGACCCACAAATTAAAAAGGATCGAAGAACCTGCTCCGACGAACGTTGACATTTTAATTTCTGTTCGGTCGAATGAATTCCCCCGTTCCCCATAACTCGCGTAAAACTGCCGCCCAAGTGGGTCAAAACTCAACGTGCCGGTACACAATTTATGCACGCGGCCGATTCCAAACAGAAATCGGACCGCCGCAGCCGGAGGGGGTGGAAGACAACCGGTGCGCGGACGGATTTAATAAAGGAGACATGGCTGCAGACGAAATCGGCACAAACGACGGATAGCGGTGGAAAAAGCGGAAGTCGTAAATTGTCCCGGAAAAGGATCGTGCCGTAAAACTCGGCGGAGGAGGGTTTTATCGATTCAATATCTCTCCTTCGTAGTGGCCTGGCGCGCCAGCTCGGTGGAGAAACGCCGTTACAAAGGCAGAGACACGATTTCGCAAAGGATATTCGGTATGTGCTGTCTATGCTCCTGCGCCCGAGCCTAGCTAGCTGCCTTCCAGCAGCCCCATAGACACCGTTCTCCGCCGCGTGGCGTAGGTATTTCCTCCAGCTCCGGCGACGAGCACAAAAGTTCCCGGCGACACGGGCTTCGGGATCGAATAATATACGCGCGTCGCGTTAAGGAAATTTAGGGGAGCCAACCACCGTCGGAAACGAAACCGCGCCGCCATCGCCACCTCTCTCTATCTCTCTGGATATGAGAGTCTGGATTTATTTGCCAGAAATATCGTCGAGAC